TGTAATTTTTTCACAAATGGAGCCATTTTTTTTCCAAAAAGCTCTCGGATTGGATAGCGACTTTAGACGGCTCGGAAACGATAAATTTTTAGGGTTTCGGCATAAATGCACTTTTTTCGTTGAGCCAGACTCCACTTTGTTTTTCGTTCCTTCATGCCATAGCTCAATGTTGGGACCCGATTACACATGTATTTAGCTTCGAGAGACAAGAAATATGCCCGACAATTGAAGAATTTCAGGCACTAATGGAATCCCGGCGCGATAAGGAAATCATACCTCAACCCCGTTTTGGCCACGCCCAAGCTTTGGGACGGATGTGTTGGCTTATTCTGCACGAGGCTCGATCTTTGGCCCATAACGGAATGCTGGACATTCCCAGCTTGATCCATCGATTTTCTGCCATCGGTGATAGAGGTGACCTTTTCTGCAACATGCTTGCTCATTTCCTTCTTGCCCCTAGTTTCGGTGAGTCCAGCATTCGATTGATCGAAGTGGCCCAAGGTTTGAAAGAACGCAAGAGTTGTATTGGCTTGGTGCTGGCCGAGACTTAAATGGGCTTAGATGCCTTCTATCAGTGAGAGGCTACTAGATTCGAGTAGAGCACACTACTTCTTCAGGTATTGTTTCCCACCATTTCTCATATGCGTTTCTCACATCACTCGGCACTCATGCTCTATTTTTCTCTCAAAGCCCTTTTTTCACTTTTCTCTCACCATGCATCTCTCTATTTTTTAATCTCTCTTTTCTTTCATCCTTTCCCAAGTGTGACTTATGGATAAGCTGAAGGTAGTGGACTCTTGACCTGAGTACTCAGCTCAAGGTTATTTCTTCTGCCACCGACTAGTGGATTTCCCGAATGAGGGATGGTGGTGCCACTGGATGTGCAATAGGTCTGCTGCTGACATAGCCTGGCATTACCCCTGGCTTAATCTGACCAAGATGAGTTACAGCATGGCTCGGTAGCCTGGCATATAGTTAATTGGCCTTACGCATTGTGTGTTATACTTCCCCTTCCAGTTCATACGTCAGTTTGAGCATGATCAGATCCGCCTAAAGGAGGGGGTAGAGTACCCGGTTTCATTCCCCATCTTTGGTTCACACTTGGCTAGGTACTTCACTGCTTAGAGGATGAGAGAGCTTCTGGCCCCTGCCCCTAGTTTCAATTGCGCCCTTTCCAGAAAATGCTTGGCTTGGCTAGGGGATGAGGCACAAACCGGGTCCACTTTGGCTTCAAAAGCTTCCACAAGCACGAGCAGGAGACGCAGGTGCACCTGACTTATCTATACCCCTAGTTTATTGCTGTGACCTTTCTTTTCAAGTTTTTTTATGTATTAAAAGCAACTTTGATTTGTATCAAAAAGTTGGAGAACTTTTATGTTGAAATCAATGAAATTAAAGTTATGAGCATTGAAAATTTTCCTTTTAGTCCAAAAATGGTCTAAGTTGTAAAAGGTAAAATTTGAACAAAATCAACTTTTATTAAAACTTTTCAAAACCATTTTCGAGATGAATCACCACCTAACACGCATGGAATCAATCCTCAAGATGTACAACCCCAAATCAAAAGATCATAAACTGCTCCTTGATTGAATACACTACCCTGCATTGTAACCAGCTCTTCTTCCCAGAATGAAGATCGCAACTGAACCTTCAGGTAAAGAACAGACAAAGATGACTTGATCGATCATATGGACAGGACAGTTGAGTTGGAGGTGATAACGGTCGAACTTCAAGATGAAGTTGCCTATGTATCCCAAAGATAGGAATCAGGCCTTACGTAGTTCGGTACAGGGTCACTCGAGTATTAACTCTCTTCTTTTGTGCTCTAACTTTTGCCAAAGTCGCCCTTTAGGGTTTTCAACCTTGCGAGCTCAGTCTTTCTTTATTTATAATTTTCCATGCTCTAACTTTTGCCTAGGTCACCCTTCTGGGTTTTCGGCCTAGCGAGCTTGTCAGGGATAGTATTTCTTTAACTTGTCCATGTTGATCGGTTGTGAAAATTCCAAGCCATCCAGGTCCATGAGAATAACAGCTCCACCCGACCAGCTAGTTTTGATGATGTAAGAACCAATCCAATTGGGTCTAAACTTGCCCCTAGGGTCATGAATGGGAGCTCAGTTGTCTTTCAGCACCATGTCCCCCTTTTTAAGATTTCGGGACTTAACTTTCTTGTTAAAAGCCCTAGCAATTCTACATTGATAGCCCTGAACGTGATACAATGCTTTCAACCTTCTCTCATCAAACAGCATCAGCTCTTTGAATCTGCTCTGTTGCCAGTCTGCCTCTACTATCTAACATTCAGCTATAACTCGCAGTGACGGCAATTCTATTTCAATTGGCAGAACAGCTTCCATCCCGTAGACAAGAGAATAAAGATTTGCCCCTGTAGACATCCGAATTGAAGTTCTATAGCCCCAAAGTGCGAATGGAAATTTATTTGGCCAGTCTCTGTAGGTCTCAACCATCTTTTGCAAGATATTCTTGATGTTCTTGTTGGCGACTTCAACGGCTCCGTTGATTTGCAACCGGTATGTAGATGACTTATGAAAAGCCACATTGTATTTCTCCAACAAGTTTATCACCTCTTTCTTGAAATGGGAGCCATTATCTAATATGATCTCATTTGGGACTCCACATCAGCAAATGATGTTGTTTCTGATGAACTTGGCCACATGCAATGCTTTCAACACTGCGTAAGACTGAGCTTCCACCCACTTGGTAAAGTAATCAATTGCCACCAAAATGTATTCATGCCCATTCGACCCTTTTGGCGTGACTGTCCTAATGACGTCAATTCCCCAGACCGAGAAAGGCCATCGCGAAGTCATATTGTATAGCTTTGACGGCAGGATGTTCATGCGAATAGCATGAATTTGGCATTTGTGGCATCACCAAACAAAACCAATACAATCCTCCTCCATAGTGGACCAGTAGTAACCTTGCCTGAGAATCTTCTGGGCTAACATCACTCTGTTTATATGCTCTCCGCACTCTCCTCCATGGATGGCCTCCATCAGGCACTTTGATTCCTCTTCTTCGACACATAACTTGTGCATTCCCAGATGACATTTTTTGTACAGTTTACCTCCGCAAATGATAAATTGGACGGCCATTCGCTGTATTCTCCTTTTGTCCTTGTCATTTTCCCCTAGTGGATAAATCTCTTTTTCCAAGAAGTTCTAAATATCATAGTACCAAGGGTTTTTGTCTTGCACTTCATTTATTGCGGCGATGGTTTCATAGGCTGGCGTGTACTTCTGCTCAATGATAATCGGACGCATCCAGACTCCTAGTGGGATGTCTACCACATAACATAGAGTTGCTAAAGCATCAATGAACCTGTTGTTCTTTCTTAGTAGATGCGTGAAAGTCAGGTTTTGTGCCACATATTCCGAACATCAATATTATTGAGAAGTTCTTGAAGAATTGCTTTTTCTTCACCTGGAAACTATAACCAAATATGAATTCAACAAATTAAAACCCAAGCTTAATCACAATTAAAGGAAAAATAAAAAATAAAAAAACCATACATCTAACTAGATTTACAAAGAGTTAACATCTCAAAGACTTGATGGGCAGTTATATTACAGTGAGAACAAAATCCATTATATCCATGGATTCACCAGAGTTTCTTGCGGAAATAATTTCTATACAAATATGTATATATTTGTACAGAGGAAAGAGAAAGAGATCTTACCTAGCAAAAAGATGAAGCAAACCTTTGACCTTTCGATCAAAAACATTACATATCTTTTGCCCTGCATATTAAGCCCCTAAGGTCACAGGTTCAATTTCCTTTCTTGGGCCAATTTCTTGAGCAAAGCACAGTTGGTTAGGAGGTTGGACCTCAAGTTGTCTAATCAGCACTTGGTGTGAATTCAATATTCTCTCGCTGTGCGAGTCTTGACTTAAGCGGAGCATGTCTTGGGAGATCGGGGCAAGTTCCCAGGTTATAGTCTCCTCGCTCGGAATAACTAACAGGACACCCAAGTGATCTGTGTAAGGGGCGCTGTCTTGGACCTACGGGAGAGTAGGGAAGATTTTCCTATAACCAAAAAAAAAAAAAAAAAAATTACATATCTTTTGAAACATTACATACATTTGAAGTCTTGAATGCACCCAATATTTGCATTTGATTATCATAGTATTTTCTTCCTTTTTCTTCCTTTCGCTCACTATTTGACATTCGATTGTTTGTTTAGTAACGCATCTTTGTTAATTTAGTGGACTTAGTGGTTAATTTTTCTATAATCATTCTGTGGGTGTTTCCATTCCATTGTGATTCTTGGCTCGTACTCTTATTAATAAATGTGATTCACTTTTCTTATTTTCTTATAATTTTTTTTATGAATTCTTTTCTTCTATTCAGGTAAGAAATGCTCTCTCTTAATTTCTTAAGCTTTTTCTTATATGTTTCTTCTCCCAAACAAAATCAATTTTGTGAAAATTCTAAACATTTTGAATTTTGAAAAAATTCAAAACTACACAAGTTTTAACTTTTAAATTTAAAAAAATTGATTTAAAAATCGAACCAAACGCACCTTACATTTTTTTTTTCAACTGAAATTGTATCATGGTATCCTTTCAATGGTTTATCACAAGACTAACATGACGTCTAAGCTTGACATTTTCAAGCGCACTATCAATCAAATCAAACATAAACACTAGGGGATTTTATTTATCCCAAAAAATTATTAAGTCTATTTAATTTTTAATATATCTTATTTAGGGCTGAGCAAGGAATCCGTAAAATTCGTAATCTGATCCGGTCCAGTCCAATCCGATAGGTTTGGATTGGTTTTTTGAATCCGTGGTTCGGTTTCGGATTGGAAATTTCAAAATTCGTAGGCCACGGACCGGTTCCGGATTGAACCCCACGGTTCCAGATTGGAACCGATCCGGATCATCTAGAAATAATCTATATTTTTGTACTATATACCTTCCCACACCATATAATTTCTTGTCTCATATAAAAACTAAAATGTAACCTAATCCAGCCTCACTCATTCACGCCTCTTTCAGGTCCCTCACTCTCATCTCAACTCTCTATCGATGGTGTCTCTCTCTCTTCTCTTTATCATCTCAGACTGAGTTCTCTCTCACACTCTCATCCATCTCAGATCAGATCGGTGTACTGCTGCTCGTCTCTCTCTGTCGGTGAGCTCTTTCTCTTTTCTCTCTTTCTCTCTCTCTCTCTCTCTCGGTGACTATTTTTGTTCCTTTGTTCCCAGATCATCCATCTCAGATTAGATCGATAGCTATAGCTATTGTCTCTCTCTTTCGGTGAGCTCCTCTCTCTTTCTCTCTCTCTCTCTCTCTCTCTCTCTCTCTCTCTCTCTCTCTTTAACACTCTGAAATGGGTTTAATCTCAAAGAAAAAATATACACAATACACTGCTGTGATTTCATCTCAGATCGGTGGATTTAATCTCAAATTGATTGTTCATGTCATCTACAATGGATTTGGTAAATGTAAGTAAGAGATTTTTTTTATTTTTTTATTTTTATTTTTATTATGTTTTCTGTTTTCATTTTATTTTTATACTTTTTTTTTCTGTTTTCTATTTCTATGTTCTGTTTTTATTTTTATTTTATTTTTTCTGATTTCATCTCTATTTTCTGTTGTTTGTTTTATCTTTAAATGTAAGTAAAAAAAATTAATCCAAAGTGTATGTTTTTTCTTTGATTAGTGATGCAACATAATTTCAAAAATGGTAAATATTGATATCCCAATTTTATTTTTTAGTGTGAATACGTATCTTCTTTTTATTTTTTTTCTTTGTTTTTTGGTAATGGATAATTAACGAGAATTTGATCAGTCTGATTGTATTTCATGTAGTATTTGTAATTCAGACCATTGTGTTTCCGTTGCATTTTAATCAATCTGAAATTGTTGGAGCTCTTCTAAAAAAGTTCTCCCAAATATTTCTTAAGAAAAGCAAATGGAAAATAGAGGGGAAAAAATGTAGATATTTTCTCTGTTTTTCCATCTTTTATTAATGAGGGGAAAAAGACTACAGAACAGGGGTCCATATTTACAATGGTAAATATTAATCTTTAGGAGCGTTATAATAGTGATGCAGCTTTATGAAGATGGTAAATATGTGATAGTAGCTTTACAAAAATGATGTAATTGATTATAGAACAGCTTCCAGTAGCTTTACAAAAATGGTAATTGATTATCAAGACGGAAAATATGTGATAGTAGCATTACAAAAATGATGTAAATATGTGATAGTAGCTTTATAATAGTGATGCAACTTTATTATAGAACAGCTTCTAGTTTAACCAAAATGTAGAGATTTTCTCTGTTTTTCCATCTTTTATTAATGAGGGGAAAAAGATTATAGAACAGGGGTCCATTCTTACAATGGTAAATATTAATCTTTAGGAGCTTTATAATAGTGATGCAGCTTTATCAAGATGGTAAATATGTGATAGTAGCTTTACAAAAATGATGTAATTGATTATAGAACAGCTTCCAGTAGCTTTACAAAAATGGTAAAAATGGTAATTGATTATCAAGATGGTAATAGTAACTTTACAAAAATGATGTAAATATGTGATAGTAGCTTTATAATAGTGATGCAGCTTTATTATAGAACAGCTTCCAGTTTAACCCATTTTAAAACACATTATTTTTACAGGCTGTATTTTTTTTTTTGATTTATTTATTTCTTTTGTTTCATAGATGTCAAGTACCGGAGACACAAATGATGTAATTGACCTCTCTCAGTCTCAATCTGATAAAGAACATGATCCTCAGCCTGAAACTCCTTCAGGTTCAAAGGTATGCCCCCCCTCATCCTAAGCCAAAATCTAGACAATATTCTGAAGTTTGGGAGTATTTTACCAAAATTTTTAAAGAAGGGAGTAAGACTGCTGCATGTGCTAAATGTAACCATTGTAAAGCTTCTTATGCTCGAATTAGTGGAAATGAAACTATCACTTTGAGAAAACATATTGAAAATTGTCCTAAGTCCCCTTAGAATAAAGAAAAAAAAAAGACTTTGGCATTTCAATCTGTAACCGAAGGTGAAAAAACTCTTGGAGTTTGGAAATTTGATCAACAAGCATGTAGGAATTCACTTGTTAAAATGGTAATCACTGATGAGTTGCCATTTAGTTTTGTAGAGCGTGAAGGATTCCATCAATTTTGTAGTGTGATGCAACCTAATTTCAAAAAGTTTTCACGCTTTACAGTAGCAAGGGATATTGTGGATTTATATTGTAGTGAGAAGAAAAAATTGAAAAATGTGTTGAAGAATGCAAACTATAGACTTTGCCTCACTACAGATTCATGGACATCTCTACAAAATGTTTCATACATGTGCCTAACAGCCCACTTTATTGATAAAGACTGGAATTTGCAAAAAAGAATTCTCAACTTTAGTGTGATTTCTAGTGACAAAGGGGAGGCAATTGGTAAGGCAGTGGAATCATGTTTAGTTGATTGGGGTATAGAGAAGATTAGTACAATCACTGTGGATAATGCAAGTGCAAATGATGTAGCTATTGCATATGTGAAAAGGAAGTTTTCAAAAAACATTGACTCTTTGATTTTAAGGAGTGAGTACTTGCATATGAGGTGTTGTGCCCATATAATTAATTTAATTGTCAAGGATGGGTTAAGTGAAATAAAAGATTCAATAACTCAAATTCGTGATGCGGTGAAGTATGCAAGGAGTTCTCCACAACGAGAGCAATTTTTCAAGACAAGTGCTGAAACAAAGAGGGTAACATGTAAAAGCTTGTTGTGCCTAGATGTTCAAACTAGGTGGAACTCCACATACTAATGCTAGATGTTGCAACAAAGTTTCAAAAAGTATTTGAGAGATTAGAGGATGAGGACCCACATTTCAAACTAGAACTTAATCATGGACCTCCTACCTCTCAAGATTGGGAAGATGCTCATGTTTTTACACAATTTTTGCAAAAGTTTTATGATGCAACTGTTCGCTTGTCTGGTTCTTTGTATGTCACTTCCAACTTGTACTTCACTGAAGTTTGTGGTATAGAAAGTGCCTTAACTGAATGGGCAAAGAGTTTAGATCCTTCTTTTGAAAGCATAGCAATAAAAATGAAGACTAAATTTGACAAGTATTGGGGAAAAATTGAAAAAATAAATATGATGTTATTGATTGCTATTGTGTTAGATCCTCGTTATAAGTTGAAGTATGTGAGGTTTTGTTATTTTGAAGTTTATCAACTTGCCATGGTGAATGAGCTCACTCAAAAAGTAAAAGAGACTTTGAATAACATTTTTGATGAGTATAAACAGTTTGAGACAGTTGCTTCATCTTCCAATGAAATGGTTCATGAGGTAGACATTGTTGATCAAGTAAACATTGGTGCAAGTGAGCACCAAGTGTCTCTTATGACAAAATTTCAAAAGCTTTTGGAGGAAGAAGAAGGTGACGGAGAAAAGTCAGAAGTAGATAGGTATTTGGAAGAATCTTGTAAAAAGGAAGTTGTAAACTTTGACATCTTAAGTTGGTGGAAGACAAATTCTTTCTCAAGTTGCTAGGGATATTTTGGCCATTCATGTCTCTACTGTTGCTTCTGAGTCTACTTTCAGCATAGGAGGTCGTATCCTTGACCAATTTCGTAGTTCTCTTACTCCAAAACTTGTTGAAAGTTTAATTTGTACACAAGATTGGTTGCGTACTTCGCCATTGCGACTTCAGATGGAAGAAAACTTTGCAGATTTGAAGGACATAGAAAGAGGTAATAGAATTCTAATATTCAATTAATCACTTAAATTTCATTCATGTATTGTGTTATTTTTTACTTTAAACTGAAATTAATTTTTTTGCAGCTCTAACCAATGTTAACATAGCTGCTGGAAAGTGATTTGGTCTGCTGGAAATCACCTATTACTGCTGCTGTTGCGTTGCTGCTGCCACTGCATTGTTGTGGTGCTTTTGTTTGTCATTCTTAAGCTATGCTGCTGTCAACATGCCTTTGTTTATTTATTTGTTTTTGTCTAAAACTACTTTATATTTGTTTTCTTAGAATTTGTGGAAAAGGGAAATGTAATGTCTACTACTATTGAATTTGGTTGTTGTTAGCTACTATTGTTGATGTGTGTTTGCTTGGAATGGATGTTTTCTTAGAATGGATGTTGTTCGCTGAGCTATTGGAATGGATGTTGTTTACTTATTGGAATGGATGTTGTTTACTTATATTGGAATGGATGTTGTTCGCTGAACTTCGCACCAGTTTTAGATGCTATTGGAATGCATGCTGTTTACTTATATTGTTTACAGGTTTTCAATATATATTTTTGTCTATATTTTTGTTCCAATATTTTTGTCAATTTACTTATATTGTTGTCTATATTTTTTTTGTTATTTAATTATTTAAATCTGTGGTCCTAAACCGATCCAATTCGTGTTTCAACGGATTGGTTCGGATTGGTTCCACAATTTAAACGGATTGGATTGGTTTTAATTTTTCAGGAACCGTAGATAACGGATTGGTCCTAGTTTTCTCCCAATCCGGACCATGCTCACCCCTAATCTTATTGAATTATTTAGAATTGTAATTTACCCTTAATACATTTTATTTTATGTCAAATTATCTTTCAAGATATAACTAAATAATAAATAAATCAAAAACTTGAAAACTCTTCCACACATTTCTGAATCAATGATTATAGCCAGTGGTGGAACCACAGTGGGTCTAGGAGGGTCACGTGCCCTCCTTAGGTTTTGGAATATCAAAAATGATCCGGACCCCCATTGGGGGTCACCTCCACGACCCCTACTGGCCTGTGAATGGCCAGATTTTTTTTTTTTTTCTTCTCCTCCAATCACCAACCCCCATGTGTGTGTAGGGGTGGTGGGGGTGGGGGGAGTGGGGGTCTCAATCAGGTCTCATAATATATATATATATATATATATTGTAAATATAAAGAAAATATCTAGAATAAAAAAAATTATAAAATATTATTTAGAGTAAAACGTCAATGACATTTTTAAAATTATGAGAATAATAATGGTTGTTTTTTTTTTATTATTGAAAATGAAGATATTACGGTAAGTCATATTATTATCTATGAAAATTTCAATACAATAGTGATGTCTATCATTATTGACATACAATTATAATTAATCTCAATAAAGATATGAAATTTATTGAATTATTAGTTACATTTGACATGTGGGGTTCATCCTCTATGTGTTTCTTTATTATTGGTTGGTGATATCATATTTCCATGATGACGTTGTATTTTTATTATATTGAATTTTTATTGAAATTTTGTATAAATTTATTATATTGAATTTTTATTGAAATTTTGTATAAAAAATTACGAAAAATGGTTGAGAGCACTAAAAGTGGTGCTCTAATAGCACCACTAATGATGTGGCATAGGCCTTGTTTTTTTTTTTTTTTTGGCATTCCCAATGCATTAGTGCTATTAGTAGTCTTTTTTTTAGTGGTATGAATCACTATAAGAATTTTCACTTTTGGCGACTAAATTTTTTGGTCGCAGAAGTAGTCGTCCAAGAATTGTCGGTAAAGGTCATTAGCAACTAAAATTTTAGTCGCCAAATGTATTCAATTTCCGACTAAATTTTTAGTCGTCAAAATGTTGGACATTAAATTAAATTAGTACATTTTTGACGACCAAACTTTTAGTTGCCTAAAGTCCCACATTTTTTGCTACTAAATTTTAGTCGACAAAGAGTTCTTGTTTTGGCTACTAAAAAATTGGTCGCCTAAAGTTCCACATTTTGGGCTACTAAAATTTTAGTCGAAAAAGAGTTCTTGTTTTGGCTACTAAAAAATTGGTCGCCTAAAGTCCCACATTTTTAGCTACTAAAATTTTAGTCGGCAAAGAATTCTTATTTTGGCTACTAAATATTTGGTCGCCTAAACTCCCACATTTTTTGCTACTAAATTTTTACTCGGCAAAAGTTTTTTTATTCTTTAGCTTTTGTTTTTAGCTACGAAATATTTTAGTCGCCAAATGTTTGATTTTCTTTTGGCTACAAAACTTTTAGTCACTAAATGTCTTCTTTTTTTTTTTTTGCTACCAAACTTTTAGTCCCCAAATGTCTATTTTTTATTTTTGCTACAAAACTTTTTGCCGCCCAAAGTATTTTCCCAATTTCTTTTTAGCTACTAGTTGTTTAGTCGCCAAAAACATGATATTATGTTTTATCGCAAAATTATAATTTCTCCATAACCTGTCTATATTCCATGCAACCTATAATACGTATATAAACAAAATGATACATGTTATCAATCATTCCACAATCTGTATCCATATACAAAAAATAAATAACTTTGAATGTCAAAATCCATACAAACCAACTATTGTCCAAACTAAAATAATAATTTCATACAAAATATATCATACAAAAATCAAAACCCTCCGTATACAAAAAATACATTTACTACCAAGCGAAATTACCATTTGGCATGGTACAAATTACCATCGCAATCTGTAACACGACAAAAAGTGATATATGTACTACGACAAAAGTTTTTCTATAGACCATGACAAAAGATCATATATGTATGCCGACAAATGGTTATATATATGTACCACGACAAAAGGTGATCTATAGGCCATGACAAAAGGCCATATATGTACGCCGACAAATGGCCATATATGTATCACAACAGAAGGTGATCTATGTACCACGGCAGTCATTATCTGTTGATTGCCAGAAGTTTTCTGTATCAATAATAGTGAACTACACAAAAGCTGAGGACAACAAAAGCATTATATTAGTTCTATACAAAAGTGAAAATTCTTCTCCATACACCAATATGGATTATCCACAAGTCCACACAACAAAGCCATCTACGAAAAAAAACAAAAAACAAAACATTAAAATTGGTTACAAAATATCAATTTAGTAAGCCATAGGGAACATGTTCTAACATGCATTTAAGGTAGAACAATCAAGAAATGTCTTCTTGGAAATAAAAGAAAGTATATATATATATGTATCATGCAATATTTATTCCAACCAACTGCACAAATAATCTAATATGTAATTTTTTCGTCCTATAAATATAGAAAGGCAATTATTAGAACATGTAGATGTTATTTTCATAAAGTTGTCGCTCTTTAAACTAAGTGTTGCGAGTTTTTCGACTAAGTGTAAGGCGTTTTCAATTCAAACTCCAAGCCTACGGGTCCTAATTAAATTCCGTCAGTTGTCACAAGTCATAATTGTCATGAGGAAGCAGTTCATGAGATCACCACGGTGGTTCAAGGGGTGTTTTTGAATTTTTGCCCCCGAAACGCCATTTTTCAAGTAAGTTTAAGGCATGTTTGGGTCTAACTCCCAACCTACGGGTCCTAATTACATTCCGTCAGTTGTCACAGGTCGTAATTGTCATGGGGAAGCAGTTCGTAAGAGCCACACCGTGGTTCGGGGGCTGTTTTGAATTTTGGCCCCTAGAAAGCTCTTTTTCGAGTAAGTTTAAGACGTATTCAGCTCTAACTCTCAGCCTACGGATCCGAATTACATTTCGTCAGTTCTCACAAATCCTATTTGTCATGGAAAAGTTGTCTGTGAGAGTCACACAGTGGTTCGAGGGCTGTTTTGAATTTTCGCCCCGAAACGCCCTTTTTTGAATAAGTTTAGGACGTATTCGGCTCTAACTCCCAACCTATGGGTCCGAATTACATTCTGTCAGTTTTCACAAGTCCTATTTGTCATGGATAAGCTATCCGTAAGAGTCACATGGTGGTTCGGGGGCTATTTTGAATTTTTGCCCCCGGAACACCTTTTTTCAACTAAGTTTAGGGCGTATTCAGCTCTAACTCCCTACCTACAAGTCCGAATTACATTCCGTCAGTTGTCACAAGTCATATTTATTATGGGGAAACTGATTGTGTGAGCCACATGGTGGTTCGGGGGCTGTTTTGAATTTTTGCCCCTGAAACGCCATTTTCCGACTAAGTTTAGGGCGTATTCGGCTCTAACTCCCAACCTACGAGTCCAAATTTCATTCTGTCAGTTGTCACAAGCTCTATTTGTCATGGTGAAGCTGCCCATGAGAGCCACATGGTGGTTCGGGGCTTTTTTGAATTTTGGCCCCCGGAATGCCATTTTTCGACTAAGTTTAGGGCGCATTCAGCTCTAACTCCCAACCTACGTGTCTGAATTACATTCTGTTAGTTGTCACAAGACCTATTTGTCATGGAGAAGCTATCCATGAGAGTCACACGGTGGTTCGGGGGCTGTTTTGATTTTCACTCCCCGGAACGCAAACAAAAAGATTTTGGAGTATACAAGTTGAAATTAAACAAGGAGATGTAAAAAAGAATGAGAAAATTCACCTAACACAACCATCGTAAGTAGAAGAAACAACCAAGATATCATCAAAGCTTATGAATTATTGGAAACAACCAAGGCTTAAATGCTTATTTAGAAAGGTGAATTAAATCAATAAAAAGTATTTATTAAGTAAAAAGGAACTGGTAGGGGGGAAAAAAAAAGTTGTGGTGCAGCCACAAGTCATAGGTTGTGCACTAAAAAAAAAAAAGATTTCAAGTGCCAGAAGTTATGAATTTTTTAACAACCCAATAAATTATGGGAATTCCAGCAGTGAACAAGTGTGCTGGTTGGTTCTATGGTGATTAATAATGGATGTACGGTGTATATGATTCCCTCACCCCTGGACCTCTCAATTATCTTCATTGATTATAGAACACTACTATCTTTATGTTAGAAAATAAATTAATTAAAAAAAAGTTCAAGTAGAGTGGAGTACGTTGAATGAATAGAAATGACTATAATAAAAGATCCAAAATCTTCTTATTTCAAGTGACACTATTCTTGTTGTCTATTGGGGAGGGCAGAGGGTACGGTGGTTGTGGTTATTGTTAACTCTTTGTATTTCAAGTAACACTAATGGTCTCCATCATATTGCTATTACAAACATTTAAGAATATAAGACATTCATGCATATAAACTTAAAATTTGAGATGGCATTTTTCCTTTTCTATTTCGTTTCATTTTCTGTGTCTACATGTGTGTGTGCATTTGTGGATATGGTTATCTCTCTTTTTATTGTTGTAGGGAAGCTGAATGGGATATGAGAGAGAGGGAAAAAAAGTTGGGGAAAAATAATAATAGAATCCAGTTATAATGGCCTTTTTCAATAGCATGGAGAAGAAAGAACCAATACCTTGCAAATTTATCATGAGACGATTGCAAGATGTAAACCGAGAGAATGAATGTCATCAGAAGCCCTGTTTTACATGCTCAAAAGAAACCAGATGGTTAAGTAATGACACCTTTCAATTTGTCATATCTTATTGTTCAGTTGCATTGATCATGAATTCATGGTTCAAGGATGAACTTCAAGAGTCCAAATCCTCTGCCATGGTTTCCTGCCATGCTTCCAGCAATGCTTTCAAAATGACGTCATTTTGGACCCTTTTTTTTTCTTTCTCTTTTCTCCCAGCTCTCAAACCAGAGAGAGAGACACCCTATCCAAAAGAGAAAAACAGAGAGACAAAGAGGGACAGACAGCAATAACTATGATGGTGAGGCCACACTCAGTTCCCCTGACTCCATTTCTCTGTCGTTGCCGGTGACCCAACCACCCCAATCGTTTACATCAGTAATGGTAATGGGTTTGAGACTCCAATGGGACCTTGTGGCACGGGATTGATACCCAAATTTTCACTTCTTTGAAACTGGGTGTCAAAAGCTTAAATTTCGACTCTTAAACCCATTACCATTAATAGAAGGATCACTCACACTCTTCAAACCACCATGCCCATTTTATAATAAACCCCAGACCCATCATTTAAATTCTCAGTTTCAACACAATTTTTATGTCTAAAAACATACCCATTCATTACAAACAAAAATCCAGAGAGAATGAAGAACCTGAGAGAAGAACATAAATCATATATGAAGAAGCTTCCCAAATTAAACAATATCTCCAAATTCAATTTGTATAGGGTTATTATTATCATAAAGTCTAAAATTTTAAAACAAATGGGTTCTGTGGGGATATATTTTCTAAGTACCGACATGTGGCATGGTGACGCCGACGTGTCGGCCGAGGTGCCACGTGTTGTGGTAGTTATGCCGAGGTTATCTTGGCGAGGCCAAGGTTATCTCCGAAGATATCGGAATCCGAGATAAGCGGATAAGGGACAAGAGTCCTAGAGTAAAGAGAAGACTTTGCTAAAGATAAGGATAAAACTCTTAGGGAGTTTATCTTTATCTCTTGAAGAGTCCAAAGTCAGTATTGAATTGGAGTCCATAGAAGTCAGGCTTCTAGTAGGACTTGGATTGAGTAAACTATAAAAGAGAGGCACCCCCGTGGGTCTAAAGTACGCAGTTTTATACTCAAGCTTGTGAGTTTAGCACTTGATTATCTTTGAGAGATACACTGACTTGATCGTCGGAGTGCCCCCGGGTGGAAAAGCCACCGCCGGAGCCTTTTCTTTCTGTTACAGGTTTGTTGAAGCCATCTATTCTACCGGTGCTCTCCAGCTGATTACTAGGCGGGTAGTGTGGTCAGAAAATTACCCACACAATTTGGCGCCGTCTGTGGGAATCTTAGAAGAATAGATGGCCAGTGACAGACAGAGGGAAAACATTGGGGGCGACACTCCTGCTAGGAATGGCAGACCAATTAATCTTGACGTTGAAGGAGACAACCACAGTACAAAAAATCATAACCAGGGCCACGGAGAGAAAGGCGTCGGCCAGGAGGGCGGTACTTCGAAGCAAACAGACCAAAGCAAGTATTATAACGAAGATAACCTTCAGGTATGGAGGGATAGGTGCCTACGGAGAGATGAGGAAGTAAAAGACTTGGCAAACAAGTTGGCAGACCTACAGTCAGTGGTCAACTTCATGATGCAAAACAATGTTATGCAGCCACCATACCCGCTGCAAGATACGCCGATGCCAGCAATTAATACCCAGAAAGGAGGAAGGAAAGCAATCCCCGAAGCCCCTTAGCACACCAGGAGTGGAAGGCACTCTCACCGACCTTCCAGGGAAGTCAGACGAGAGGAGCCGAGGCAAAAAGAGTCCCGAAGGACACATCGCATGAAGGATCCAGGGCCCAAAGAACATCGGCATGTTCAAGGGCAAGCACTCTGCTTTGACACAACCCATGGAGAAAGATCGAAACGGGCCCACCACGAGGCCGAAAGTAGTGTGCCAAAAAGATTGAAGTCCAGAGATAGCCGAGCTCCAAGTAGGAGTAAGGAAGACTTGAGGGACTACTTCAAAAGGAGGCAGCAGAATGCTGAAGCCGAGGTGACTTCCAAAGTTAAACCGAGAACACCATTCTCGGTGGAACTGGACAAATTTGAAGCACCAAGAGAGTTCAGTATCGAGGTTCCAAAATTTATGATGGTAAGTCAGATCCAACTTTCACGTTGGACTATACCTGAATCAATGGCATATACAGTGGGAACGAGCCGTTACTCTGCAAAGTATTTCCTCATCCTTTGGGGAAATTGCATCCGATTGGTTCATAAACTACCGAAGGGAAACGTAAAGACATGGGAATGCCTGGCTGAGATGTTTGTGGCCAGGTTGTAACGAACAAACTAAGCCCTTGAGGGTCGACGCCCTGATGGCTTTAAGAATCACCAAGGAAGAGGCTTAGGGTCCGCGAAGAGGTACTACGAGGTGTTCAATCGAATACCCGAATGCGAACACCAAGAAATGGCGGTTGTGTCTTTCAAGAACGGCCTGAAAGATGACTGCCCACTATGGAAGTCTTTGGCAAAAACATTACCAAAAAGCATGGAGGAACTCATGGCGAGAATCGAGAAGTACGCCAGAGCCGAGGAAGATACGTCGGGAA